TTCTGGATGAAACGTTTTCCACATGCACTGCATATGAAGGGTTTCTCTCCAGTATGACTTCTCTGATGAACAGTGAGATCTCCCTTCTGGATGAAGCCTTTTCCACATTCACTGCATATGTAGGGTTTCTCTCCAGTGTGAATTCGCTGATGACTAACAAAATTTCCCTTCTGGTTAAAGCCTTTTCCACATTCACTGCATGTATAGGGTTTCTCTCCAGTATGAGTTCGCTGATGAACAGTGAGATGTCCCTTCTGGTTGAAGCCTTTACCACATTCACCACATACGTAGGGTTTCTCTGCCATATGAGTTTTCTGATGTTTATTGAGGTGTGATTTATGCAGGTAAGCTTTGTCACATTCTGTGCATTTATACGGTTTTTCTCCTTTATGAGTTGTGTGATAATGTTCACTAAGCTTGAACTTTTTAAAGAAAATTTCCCCACACAGATTGCATTTATAGGGTTCCTCTCCTGTATGAATGAACTGGTGTTCGGTGAGCAAAAACTTCCTCAGGAAGGCTTTCCCACATTCATTGCATACATGCTGTTTCTGTATTTTGTGAGTTTTCCGACGCTTAATGATTTGAAAGTCAGTGCTGTTGGATTTTTGACTCTCAGGGAATTGCATTTCAGTACAAAATTGCTTCTGGTCAGCATGGAGAAAGCTTTTCTTATCTCCATTAGGCTCAGCAGAGTTCTTTATTTCATTGCTTCTGCTTTGGTTGACTGCCGGTAAAGTTAAATTTGACTTCACAGCTTTTTCATGTAAGTCAAATACAGCATGATTTTCCCTTAAAGGAAAATGATTTTTGTGCTGATGAACAATATTTTCCGATGCATTATGTTCATAGCACTGTTCCATGCTGTCAACCTTTCTTTCATTTTGCTGTTGCCTAAGCAGGTGATTATCAACTTTCCGGATTTCTAGGAAAGAAGAGAACAATGAATCCTTCCATCATCTTGATTTGGAATGAAGCCATTTAAAATAATGTATTGCTATAAGGTGGCTCTTTAGTGATAGCTCTCTCATATGAGTTTAAATAACACACCATGCTTAATGTTCCTTGCACAGTGAGAGAAATACAATAATATAAACAACCCAGCAGTAAAAGCAGTTAGTGTAGAAACAAGGTTAGATAATACATAACTTATGAATATAGATTTGGCTGCTTCTTAAATAAGTCCTTGTCAAACATGTAGACAATGTAAAATATAAGCAAGTCACTGTGACCTGCAGACCACAGAGGTTGTAAGGCAGCCTCCTGATCCCAATTGGTGAAGGACAGATTCATTCACTCAACAAATTCTTACTGAAAGACAATTATTCACCAGGCATAGTGGGGTATGTAGAAAATGCAGAATGTTACATATGCGGGAAAATAATTTTCATACTTACATAGTAAAGATTTGGGAATTTACAAATGTATTCCTTATGTTTATGGAGCCCACATTCTAGTGTGATAAACAACTGAAAAAAGGCAGGGAAAGCCATAAAGAAAGTAGCTGCAGATTGTGAAAAGTGGTTTTTATGAGAGGATAGCAAGAGGTGGCAGAAATGAGGATACGTTTTGAAGGAAGAGAAGGTTCACTAATGAATTCATTGTTGCTGGGGGTGGTAAAGAGAGTGAGGAATAAAGGGTAGCTGCTAAGTATTTTGCTTGAGCCACGGGGTGGTAGTGTCTTTTCATGAGATGAGGAAAATCATTAATGTATGGAATATTTAAGAGAATATTCTGAAGCATATCACCTTCAAAATGGTTATGATATCTCCAAGTACAGAAACGAAGAAATCTGAAAGATGAATAAATCTTGACTAGAAGTAACAATTTGGAAAACTTTTGTATTTAACTATGACTTAAGGACAGAGAACAGAATAAGATCATGTTCAGAGAACATGTACATTAACAGAAAACGGACACCAAGGTTTTAATCATTCTAACATTAGAACTGCTCCATAGGGTTTCCAAGGAGCGGCTGGTGGATTCAAACCGCTAACCACTTGGTTAGCAGCTGAGTTCTTAACCACTGTGCCACCAAGGCCCCTTTAACATTTAGAGTTTTAGAATTGGAAAAGTTTCCTGAGGGACTGAAATGAGTACAATGGTAATATTTACACTGAACTGAGAGAAGGATTAGAATTAGTGTGGGACCAGGAACTAACTCCGGCTTTTGTCTTTGGTCCCTTAAAAGTTAAAAATAAATAAACAAACCTGTTGCTATTGAGTCCGATTCAACTCAGAGCAACCCTATAAGACAGAGTAGAACCACCCCATAGGATTTTAAAGGCTGTAATTGTTATGGAAGCACATTGCCATATCTTTATCTCGCAGAGTGGCTGGTAGGTTCAAACCTTCAATCTTTCAGTTAGCAGCAGGGTGCTTAACCACTGCATCACCAGGGCTCCTCCCTTAAAAGACAGTCCTTGGAATTTTCCAGCAATCAAGGTGCCGTTTTTTGTTTTTTAATAACATTCAGGCAAAATCTTCGACTATGTTGAAATGGTTGAACTACACAGGTATACCTGTTAACTAGCCTGAAGAGTCGAGGGTGTTTGATGCAACCAATCATGCATATTCACTTTTTCCATCAACAATGCATATTCAATGAGGCCCCAATCATGAGTATAAAAATAAGCCATCAAAAGGACATGAAAAAGGAAGTTCAAGGCTTCCTGGACTGCTGAGAACATCCATGCATGGGAGAAGGTGGACCTCCCTGGATACAATGGAAGTGTCAAGCTGTGACCTCTCCCAGACCATGCCTGAGGTGTCTCTTCATTTAACTGTAACCATGAAGAGCCCTGGTGGTGTAGTCATTAAGCTCTCAGCTGCTAATAGAAAGGTCAATGGTTTGAATCCACCAGCCACTCTGCAGAAAAGTGATGTCGCAGTCTGCTTCTGTAAAGATTTACAGCCTTGGAAACCCTACGGGGAAGTTCTACTCTGTCCTATGGGGTCATTATGAGACAGAATCTACTCGATGGCAATGGGTTTGGTTTGGTTTGGAATTATAAGTATAGGTAGTGTCTGTGAATTCTGTGAGAATTTCTAAAGAATTAACTAACCCAAATGGGACAGTAAGCCTGCAGGGCTGGTGTCTGTTCTTTAGGCAGTCAGAGGACAGAGTCATTCTAACTTGTACCCTCTGACAGAGCTCAGGGTGGATAACTCAGAGAAGAGCTGTGCAGGCAGTTGATCAGAAGGACTGTGTCCTTCTAATTTGTGTATTTTGACCTGGCTCAGGATGGCCAGGGCACAGAAGACCTGTTCCCAGCCAGCCAGGGAAAGAGAGGACCTGGTCCTGGGCATCCATGGAGTAGATGACCTGGACTTGGGCAGCTGGTGGGAGAGGATTTGGTTCAGGGGGGCCAGGTAGGTGAAAGTGCCACATGGGTGGCTTGCAACAATGATAATGGAGATATGGTAAGGTGGGAATTGGTTTCATGATGATCCATACCACACAGTTACCAATGAAGGCAGGATTTGCCCTACTTGCCCCCTTTTTAGTGCAGTTCACATAATTAGTAAATATACAAAGGAATTCAATTAACATAGTGTGGAATAATAGGCTTCTTCGTGTAGTTTGCTCTTATACACGGCCTTTCTGGCCCTGGGTTTTTAATTCTGCCAAAAATGACTGGCTGCACTATAATCTTACAGAGTATTTGTTAGTTTACTATGCAAATAGGGTATGTAAAACCACCCAATAGAATGGAATGACCTAGTTATAAAAGCAGTGAGTCAACATTTGGTTTCAGAGAGAGGAACATAGAGAGAGAGAGAGAGAGAGAGACAGAGAGTAAAGGTATCTCCTAAAAGAGCTGTAATATAGGTCAAGAAGCTGTACCACTGAAGACAGTGAGAGACAGCATGAGGCATCTGCAGTAGATTTGTGACAGAGAGTTGAGTGCCTAAGGGCAGGAGGCTTACTGGCAGAGTGTGGTGACTTCGGGCATTTGTCAGCAGAGCTAAAAGAGCTGTAACACTTGCTGAGCAGGGCAGAGTCCCAGAGAGGCCTAACAGTAGGCAGGGCCAAGAGAAGGGCCGCCTGCCAGCAGGCAATGAGAAGGAGCTGAGAGCTGTCTTGGTTGGAAGCTATCCTGGTTGAAGAAATGTACTGTGTCTCCTGAATTGTATCCTGTTACTTCTAAGTTGATCTTGATCCCATGCTGTACATTGTTAAGTCACCAGTAAACCACATAACTGTGAGTACGATGTAGTGAATTACTTAATATGGCCCTTCAAACTATAGTCTTTGTGACACTTGGAGCTGCAACAGCAATAGAGGAAGCTCCTATGGTGAGATGAGAAGCTGCGGAGACAAGCAAACTTGGATGGTGGCAGCCAAGTGTAAAGGACAAACCCTGGCCAGAACATGTAACACTCTGAGGGATGGGGCACTATGAGCAGGGGGCTGCCCACAGTGGAGGACGTGCCATTTAGGGAGTACTGCAACAAGAGCTGTCCTGAAGCCAGCCTAGACTTATGGCCAGCCTAGAGTAGCTAGACTCACCCAAGAACTGGGACCATCCGAGAGCTATCCTGGAGGAGGCCAGGAGGACCTGGGAGCCAGCTGAGAAGATAGTTGATAGGGTAGCCCACTGAGTGACATCACAGAATAGTTCCTGATTGAAAGTTTTCCTGGTTGATGAGAGTGAACATCTGTTTCAGGGAGAGTAAGCAAATGCCCTTGAGATGTTGAGGTACTCTGCAAAAATGCTTGTAAACCTTGTCCCATGCATTTTTTTGTTTATATACATATTTGTTATATTAAAAACTATTATTGCAGATATGGTGTTTCTGTGATTTCTCTGTGACCATTGCAATGGATTAGCAAACCCATTAGAAAAAGAGAGTGCTGAGGAAGAATGGCTCGTGTCAGAAATGTGTAAGTGGGAAATTTGGGATATATTTGATCTCAGCCTCATAGGAACCAGCTTTGGCTGATTTTTATAGTCAGAGTTATCATTTCAGTAGACACGAGTTATGATCTGGTTTATGATACAACTCAAAATGTAGGATGTTAATGTTTTTTCTAGTTAAAAAATTGTCAGGAAGAGCAGAGACCTTTGAAGAAGGGAGCCCTGTAGGTAGGAAACATTAAAGGTAGTAACTACCGGGATGGCTAGGATTTTACATGTACAGTACTGAAGGATAAACTAAGTTGATAGGAGTTTTCTTGCTGGAAAGATGATCTTTGTTTCTTGCAGATAATGAGAACTCATATGGAAGTTTCATGAAGATGAGTAAAATATACACAAAAAGTCTATTAAGACACTTCCAAGGGAGATGTCAATTTGACAGTCTCCTCTAAGAAATGGAAGATTAACTCATTAGAATGAAGGAAACATTATAAGGGTTAGAAGAACAAATGAGAAAATAGAAATTTGGAGAACATCAGTATAGGGGCACAGAGAAGCCAACGAGGCGAACAGAAGCCCAATGAGAGAGAAGCTTAGCATGGGAGCACAACATCTAAGGTGGGTTTGAATGCTAGGATGGGAAATTTGTATTACTCAATAGGGGAGGAAGATGCCATAGTCTGAGAATAGTTATGAATCCAAAGTTCAATCTTTGCAGAGTGGTCTGGAAGGTGGAATTTCATAGTAAAAGAAGTGGAAGAATATGAAGAAGGGGAAGACTTAAGAATTCCAGGAAGAAGAAAATTATGGAACCAAAATTATCAAAATGTAGATCAAATACATGGGGATCTGATCTTAGGAGAGAGGAGCATATTTCTCTAAACTCGTAGGAAAAAAAGAGGTATCACGTGGAGAGAGGGATAGGTGAAGGCACTTTTGATCTTAGAAGAGACAGAGGAGTATATTTCTCTAAACTCATAGGAAAAAAAACAGGTATCACATGGAGAGAGGGATAGGTGGAGGCACTTTTATGCATCCTTAGACACCCCTCACAGATGTGCTGCCTTCTCTCACTTGAACGAGACTTCCAAAACCTTCCCCCCTTACTGCTTTTCACTTGCTCACCTGAAAAGACTCCACGATGGTTTTCATCTGATATAGTCCATGATTGTTTTCTTTGTTCCAACCTGGAGAGTGCTTCTGGTTTGCTGACTTGATAACCTGTTCATGGGAAATCACAGAATCTTAGATTCACCAAATAGGCCCTGGGTTTGTAAAGACTACAGAATATTCAATTAAAAAAAAAACAATCTTGAATGGTACAAATTAATGGTTCTTCTGTCAGGAGTGGGAGAATATACCTACTTAACAAGACCCAGAGAGTGGATTGAGCACCACACACAGTCCAAAGAGTTCAGCAGCTGAAAAAGGAAAGGCCAACGACAGGGCCAACGACAGATTTGTCCTCACCAATGGACACCAAGTTGCGATAGTTCTCCAACATCACGTCCCAGTACAGCTTCTTCTGAGCAGCGTCCAGGAGCTGCCACTCCTCCAAGGTGAACTCCATACCCACATCATTGAATGTCAGTGATTCCTGTATTAAGAGGATCTTGTTTAATGAAGTAATTTCCATTTGATGGTTTGAATGAAATATGAGGGAAGTTGTTCTGCTCATGTCCTCTATATAGGCTGCTGCATCTATATACGTAGGGTTTTTTTTTTTTTTTTTTTAAATATCTTACAGAAAAAGTAAAATCCTAACAAAATATTCTGAATGTGTGCATTCAATAATCTATCCGTTCAAAAAATTAGAATTTTCTATAATTCGTAGTAAAGAAATAGTCTTCCTAAACTACAAAAATCTCACGTTTAAATATATACATACGCACGCGCGCACACACACACCATATATATATATACATATATATACACAGGTATTCCCTCCTTTTGGAAAGTTCACTTTATTCTACTTGGCTTTTATGAAAGACCTACATTAGTACCTGTTTTCACTTCCCGAAAGAAATCCAAAGAGGATTTTCACTTTTATGAAACAAGATGAAAAGTGGAAATAGCGTTCAGCATTTGTTTTCAAATGACTTGTTAAAGAAGGCAGTACACACCCCGAGCAGTGAGAAGGGCATTGCCAAGCTCCTTCCTTGGAACTACACTCAACATCTCAGCATCCAGCCGCCATAGCTTTGAACTGTGTCTAGGAGCATCTGTGATTTATCTCCACTTACTTTGTGCATCTGTTAGAAAGATGTGTCCTAAGGCATTTTTTGTTCTGATAATGCTCAAAAAAATTTCCCTTATAAATTAATGGTAATTGCTTCTTCACTTTATACCATTCTGGCTTATGAAAGCTTTAGTAGGCATGCTCTACTTTCAGATAGTGGTAGAAATCTGTGTATACATGTGTATGTATATGTGTGTGTATATATATATATATATATACACACACATACACACACACACATATATATAGACACAGGAATACCTCAGAGATATTGCAGGTTTAATTCCAGACTACCAGAATAGAGCAAATATAGTGATAAAGCAAGTTGCAAGAATTTTTTGGTTTACCAGTGCATATGAGTTATGCTTACACTATACTGTAATCTATTAAGTGTGCAATAGCATTATGTCCAAAAAATCAATGTAAATGCCTTAATTAAAAAAAAACTTTATTGCTAAAAAATGCTAACAATCATCTGAGCCTTCAGCGAGTCATAATCGTTTGTTGGTGGAGGGTCCTGCCTCACCATTGATTGCTGCTGACTGATTAGGGTGGTGGTTAATAAAGGTTAGGCTGGTTGTGGCAATTTCCTAAAATAAGACAACAATGAAGTTTGCAGCATCCAGGTAACAGAGAGAGGTGTGCCTGCAGCACGGGTGCAAAGAGGCTGTCCTGATGGAAGAAATGTATCCTGAAGGAGCTCGAACATGTATTGTACCCTGTTACTTCCCTTATAAACCCCATAATCATGTGTATTGTCTCTGAGTTCTGTGTGGCCATGGCAATGAATTATCAAACCAAGCAGAGAAGTAGAGAGTGCTGTAGAAGGGATGGTTGGTGTAAGAATTGATAAAAATGGCCGAGAGAGAAGGTATGTATGACCTCCGCCTCATAGGAATAGCCTTGGGCTGTTGATCTTGGTCTTCCTTCACCCTTGTGAAGTTAGAAGAGGTCAGATGCTGCCCCCATGCCATTTTTACAGTTGGTGGCAGATGCAGAATTTGTTTGAATGGCTCCAAACTCACAGAAGTATGGGATTTTGTAAGAGAAAGAATGAAGGGGCTTAGGAAGTTAATTTTTTTATTTTTAGATGGTTTCTTTGGTTGTTATTACCTGTAATGTCTGAAAGGAAAGTTATGCTGCAGCTGAGGGGAGAAAAACCACTTCTGGTATGGCTTGGGAGCCCTGGTGGCACAGTGGTTAAGTGTTTGGCTGCTAACAAAAAGGTTGGCAGTTCAAATCTACCAGTCGCTCCTTGGAAACCCTATGGGGCAGTTCTACTCTGTCCTCTAGGGTCCCTATGAGTCAGAATTGACAAGATGGCAACGGTTGGGTATGGCTTGGAGTAAAAGTCAAGATAAGCAATATGACTGACAGGGGTCCCGGGTCTACTGGTTCCACTCAGCCAGAGGCCCAAGGCCAATGCATATGAACGGGAAGACTGTCAAGGGGTGGAGAAAAGAAGAAGCAACTGGAATGTTTTAAAATGGGTTATGTGTTTATTTGAATGTACTCTGGATATTGAATGTTTCTCCTACCTAGTATTGTAAAGCAGATGTAAATGTATGATAGAAATGAATATTGGGTATTACAGATTACAGACAGCATGTGACTCCACCTTTAGGCAATACTTGATTAGATAATAAGCTAAAAGGGAAACTATGATTTGCCTGATGAAACAGAGGCTTTTTGTTTCAAGCCAGTAGCCCTGTGTAGTGAGTGGGGACTTAGGTTGAAAACCTGAGCCCCACCCACAGTTTATATTTGAAAAGCCATGTAGAACCACTCAGAACTGCTGAGATAACAGAAGATTTGCATTTGAAGGAAGGATCTGCAGGAAAGAAAAAAAAAAAAGACTGTTTAGCTTTTAAAATTTCCAGTAGGCAAGTGATTAGCCTTTGGGTGCACTGAGGCAGGAAAATCAGTGCTCATCAGAAGCAACCTCCTTCCAGGACTGGAAGTTAAAGGGAGCTGGCAAGTAGCCAGGTTGGTATGCTCACTTATGGTGACCACCTGTGTTCACTAAATTAGTGGAAGTGGGGGAAGTGGAGCAATGAAGAGACAGGCTGAGTTTGGATATGTTCCATTGGCGCCTGTTGACCTAGCACACGGGGGCTAGATATGAGAGACAGAGAGAGAGAGCAGAAGAGTTGGCTGGTCAGAAGAAAAAGGAGCTGTGTGAACTCCTGAGTTTATGGATAGAACATTTTGACCTAGTCAGAGGGGGGTATGGATGAGTAACAGAAGGGCCTCGCTGGAATGAAGTGCCGGTAGGTGTGTGTGAACTTTCAAGCCTAAGGCTGCTACCCAGTGTGACCTAGCCTGGATGGCTAGGGATGAGCTGACCAGAACCTGACTGAATGAAGAGAAATTTATTTGACTGTGAGCTGGTGTACATTGCTGCAATTTGATGGCTTGCTCTGGACTGGACTTTGCTTATGGATGCAGATGCTCAAAGTTTCAATTGGAATAGAAGATTTTTTAAGACCAAGAAACATGTTTTTCTCCTCAGAGTATTGGTTTGATACGGAAGACCAATTAAGGATTTGGCTGTTTAAAATAGGGAGAGATAAAGGCATGAAGTGGCTGGCATACATGATTTCGTGGGCGTGAGTATACTCAAAATGAGGGGGACAAGACAGGATCCCCACTGAATAGATTCCTCTTTTCCTGATGGGACTGGGGAAGACAGAATGGGGGAATATGCTGATAGGATTATATGATTCATGTGTGAGTGTTCACTGTTAACAGGGTTAACTGCGATTGTACAAAGTGTAATTGTTGAAGCTGTAAATGTGAAAGTGTGGACTAAGGGGGAGGCCACTGCTAGACTGCAATACAGTGGACAAACTAAAGTTCCTTAAAGGTTCTGCTATGCTGATACCTTGTGAGCTCCGAGCAAGAGAATAATCAGTCAGTTAAATCTGTCAGACACCAGAAAGGGTAAAGCTGAGATGGCTTTTAGAGACCATGACCAGATTTAGATGAACACCTTCAGTAGACTTGAATGGCTGGTAACTAAGTAACCTCACCCTGTGGACTCTTTTGCCCTATTGAAGGACTAATTGTTAACGACTGTTTTGGACTGGTAAAATGATTGGGAGGGGGAAGTTAATCCTTCAAGTATAAAAGGGTCCATGGCTAGAAAAGCCAGGGGGTGGCCTGTGGTGTGATGGATCACATTTGTGTGGCCTTTCTCACATGGTCTTGTAACTCCCACCCATGTGATTGAGTGGGTCTTTGCAAATAAGGTTATTGTGACCCACCAAGGGGATTAGTCAGTTTTGACATCCTGCTAGCCTTAGAAGACAGCCAATTCCTGAGCAGAAGGAGAATCTCACTGCCACAAAGGAAGAAGAGTTAGGACCGGAACGTCTTTTGGACTCAGGATCCCTACGCTGAGAAGCTCCTAGAACCAGGAGACCGAGATAGAGAGCTGTAACACTGATGGTGAGAAGCAGCGGCAGAAACGGTGGTAGGAGAGACCAGCAGGCGAGGCTGGCAGGAAACGGCACAGAGGGCTTCCTGGCTTATGGTGTGAGAATGCTGAGTGCCTCTGGGCAGGGGCTTACTGGCGTAGTGGGGAGCCTCTGGGCACTTACTGGCAGAGCTAAAAGAGCTTTGTAACACTTGCCGGAACAGGGGAGGGGCCGAAGGCTAAAAGAGCTTTGTAACAGTTGACTGAGCAGGGGAGAAGCCAAAGAGCCAGAAAGAGTCATGCCTGTGGTGTGGCTGGGAAGAAGCTGTCCTCATGGAAGAAATGTATCCTAAGTGTTCCTGAACCTGAACTCTTTAAGTGTTACTTCCCTAATAAACCCCATAATCGTAAGTATTGTCTGTGAGTTCTATGTGTCCACTGCAATGAATTATCAAACTCAGCAAAGAAGTAGAGAGTGCTGTGGGAGGGATGGTTAGTGTTATAATTAGTAAGGATGGCAGAGAGAGAAGGCAAGTCTGAAATCTGCATCACAGCAATCAGCCTTAGACTGTTGATCTTGATTCTCCTTCCCCCTTTTGAAGTTAGAGGAGGTCAGATGCCACTGCCACACCATTTTTACACATAATAAAGCAAAGCACAATAAAATAAGGCATGCCTATACATACGTACACATACACACTTACAAACACACAGACATACGTACATATTACACATGTGTATGTATATATATATTAACACACAAGTTAATGGAAATGCCATACATTAAAGTGGTATCAGTCAACTGTAATGTAAAATTGAAATTACCAAAATCTAGCAGAGAATGCCACAATATAAAGGAGGTTAGGAAACATGGATAGAGTGAGAATGTCTAACATATGCTGCAGTGCAATGAATTACTTAATGTGGCCCTTTAGCCATGGTGTTTGTGACGGACACAATGATTGGGTGGGACTATGCAAATAAGGTATATGGAACCTGTGAGGGTTTAGGTTGTCAGCTTGGTTAGGCCATGATTCCCAGTAATGTGTGGTTATCTGCCATTTTATATGTGGTGGATCCTGACCTCTATATGTTGATGAGCCAGGATTGGTGTGGGGTGTGTCTTGGGTTGAAGTCTTCCAGGAAAGCATAACTCAAGTCCCATCCTTACTCAAGTTACACATTTCCCTGGGGTGTGGCCCGCATCTAAGGTATATATGTGTGTACTGATGGGGCTCTCTCTCTCTCTGCATCTGGATCCTGCATCTGATTCATGACTGATTGACCTTAGTTTCTTGGGACTTGAGTCAGAGGCCTGCCGTCTGACCTGCCAGCTCTGGGATTCACTAGTTTCCGCCCTACCCAGTGTTATGAAACAGACCTCAATGTATGAAGAAAATAAATACAGAGTGGGACAAGGATTATATCAAACTCAGAAGAGCAGTAGTGAGCGCTGTGGGAGGGACGTCTGGTGTCAAAACTGGTAAAAAGTTTAAAGGGTGGAGGTATGTTTGACCTCCACCTCATAGGAATCAGCCTTGGGTTGATGCTGATGGTGATTCCCCTACTCCCTTGTGAAGTTAAATGAAGAGGTCAGACACCCCTATGCCATTTTTTACAATCCTCATCTGTAAGTATGGTCTGCGAGTACTGTGTGGCCAATCAAAATTTATCGAACCTAGAAGAGCAGGAGAGAATGCTGTGGGAGGAACAGCTGATGTCAGAATTGTTAAAAAGGTTAAAGAGTGGAGGTATTTCTGACCCCCACCTCACAGGGATCAGCCTTAGGCATTAACCTCTCTGAAGTTAGACAGGTTCTGACACCATTACTACTACCAATTTACACTGGTATTCAGGAAGCAAGTTGCTATGGTGGGGAGGTCCACATGGCAAGTAACAGAGGGCTCCCTCTAGCCAACACAAAGTGAGTAACCCAGGTTCTCACGGAACTGAATCCTGCCCACAACCAAGCAAGTGAGCTTGAAATCAGGTTCTTCCCCATTCGCCCCTCAGCTAAGGAACCATGGAAGAAACAGCCATAAGAAACCTGTTTTTACATCTATGAGAATGCTGCTGTTCAGGACACTATCTACCACACCATCTCCAGAAAGAAATAATAAAGAAATTTCCTCAGATAAGAGTCCCATGAAATATTGAAATCCCAAAGGGAAGTGATCTTTTTTCTCCTCAAAAACTGGGCATAGCATTTAAATTATAATTCTCTTCTGTTGGCCAGGACAATATTAGACACAAGTTGACAGCTAATATAACCCAAAGAATTCTCCAGGCACATATTATGTTCAGTGTAAATACTTTAGTGTTAATTCCATGAACAAGATATTCGTGATCCTACTTTGCCTGATGTTGACATCACAATCTAAGTTTATTTCTCTCCAAATTCTACTTTTCCAAATTTATACTTTTCAGCTGAACTGCACTGATATTTTATAGGACTTTACAAATCCATTAAAGAACAAAGGAAAGTATAAAACAAACCAAAGTCACCTGGGCCTTGACCATTTTCTTTTGTTCTCGGGACATTGCCAGCAACTGGGATTCTGTGTCTTTGTATTTTCTGGATCAGCTCTAATTTCTGTTCAGAAATCTCAGTCTCCTGGGAAGGGTGTTTCCTAGAAATGACAATACCCAAATCCTGCAACCTCTTCCTCCTTCCTTCAATTGATTCTCTTGTTGCTGGGGAGTCAGGACCTGTAGGCTGAAGGGAAAAATCAGTATCAGTGGTACATTACCTCTAAGCCCAGATGCTGTCACTGCTCCTGGCACTCACCTTAACACAAGGCCCCCAAAACTGTTGACTATCACACACAATACAGGGGAAGTCAGCACAACTGGACTAAGCCAAAAGCTAAGAAGTTTCCTGAATACAACCAAACACTTCGAGGGACAGGGTAACGGGGTGGGGGTCTGGGAACCAGGTTTCAGGGGACATTTAGGTCAATTAGCATAACAAAGTTTATTAAGAAAATGTTTTTGCATCCCATTTTGGTGAGTGGCATCTGGGGTCTTAACAGCTAGTGAGCAGCCATCTAAGATGCATCAATTGGTCCCAACGATCTGGAGCAAAGGAGAATGAAGAACACCAAAGACACAAGGAAAACATTAGCCCAAGAGACAGAAAGAGCCACATAAACCAGAGACTCCATCAGCCTGAGACCAGAACTAGATGGTGCCTGACTACCACCAATGACCACCCTGACAGGCAACACAACAGAGAGTCCTTGATGCAGCAGGAGAACAGTAAGGTGCAAAACTCAAATTCTAGTAAAAAGACCAGACTTAATGGTCTGACTGAGACTAGAGGGACCTGGAAGACATGGACCCTGTATTCTCTGTTAGCCCAGAACTGAAACCATTCCTGAAGCCAACTCTTCAGACAAAGATTAGACTGGACTATAAGACATAAAATGATACTTGTAAAGAGGGTGCTTCTTAGCTCAAGTACATACATGAGACTAAATGGGCAGCTCCCATCTGGAGGCGAGATGAGAAGGCAGAAAGGGTCAGGAGCTGGTTGAATGGACACGAGAAATCTGGGGTGGAAAGGAGGAGTGTTTTGTCACATTATAGGGAGAGCAGCTAGGGTCACATAATAATGTGTGTAGAAATTTTTGTATGAGAAACTAACTTGAACTGTAAACTTTCACTTAATGCATACACACACACACAAAAACAACTGTTGACTGTCCCTTTATTTTGTACCCCCAGAACAGTTTACACACATGGGCAATGAAACCTAAGATTCAGAATTTGCAGAGATATGGGTAGAACATGTCTTTTTAAAAAATGGTGCTTGGACAATCAGATTTATGTGTGAAAGAAAGAAAAAAAAAAAGAAAGCTTGATCCCTACCTCACAACATATAAACTATCAATTCAGGAATGAGTATGACTCTCAATGAGAACGGCAAATCAATAAAGCTTTAAGAAGATGAGTTTACATTAGGGTATTGAAACATATTTTAAACATGACAAATAAAGCACTAACTGTAAAGTGAAGAATAATCTTCTGGAGGAACTATAAAAGATACAACCACTTTAGAAAACACTTAGGCATCATCTATTAGACTGAAATTATATATACATTTCGAAATAACAATTTAAGTCTTGAGACATACATCTAGGTATATATGCCCCCATAATGAGTGCACATTTGAATGACAAGACATATACCAATATTTTCAAAGGAGCATTTTTAGTAACCCAAACTTCAAAGAACCCAAAATGAACATTAATATTAGAGAAGAAAAAAACAGTGCTATACATTCAAACAATGGAATGCTAAGTTGTTGTTGTTAGGTGCTGTCAAGTTGGTTCCGACTCATAGCGACCCTATGTACCACAGAATGAAACACTGCCTGGTCCTGCGCCATGCTCACAATTGTTGTTATGCTTGAGCCCAATGTTGCAGCCATGGTGTCAATCCATCTCATTGAAGGTCTTCATCTTTTCCGATGACCCTCTACTTTACCAAGCATGATGTCCTCCTCCAAGGACTGATCCCTCCTGATAACAGGTCCAAAGCATGTAAGACGTACTCTTACCATCCTTGCTTCTAAGGAGCATTCTGGTTGTACTTCTTCCAAGACAGATTTGTTGGTTCTTTGGCAGTCCATGATATATTCAATATTCTTCGCCAGCACCACAGTTCAAAGGCGTCAATTCTTCTTCAGTCTTCCTTATTCATAGTCCAGCTTTCGCATGCATATGATGTGATTGAAAACACCATGGCTTGGGTCAGGCGCACCTTAGTCTTCAAGGTGACATCTTTGGTTTTCAACACTCTAAAGAGGTTTTTTGCAACAGATTTGCCCAATGCAATGTGTCTTTTGGTTTCTTGATTGCTGCTTCCATGGGTGTTGACTGTGGATCCAAGTAAAATGAAATCCTTGACAACTTCAATCTTTGTTTATCATGATGTTGCTTATTGGTCCAGTTGTGAGGATTTTTGTTTTCTTCATGTTGAAGTAAGTGCTTCCAGTCCTCTTCACTTTCAGCAAGCAAGGTTATGTCATCTGCATAACGCAGGTTGTTAATGAGTCTTCCTCCAATCCTGATGCCACATTCTTCTTCATATAGTCCAGCTTCTCAGATTATCTGCTCAGTATACAGATTGAATAGGTATGGTGAAAGGATACAACCCTGATGCATACCTTTCCTTATTTTAAACCACACAGTATCCCCTTGTTCTGTCCAGACAACTGCCTTTTGATGCATGTACAGGTTCCTCATGAGCACAACTAAGTGTCCTGGAATTCCCAGTCTTCTTAATGTTATCCATAATTTGTTATGGTTCAGACAGTCGAATGCCTCTGCATAGTCAATAAAACACAGGTAAACATCTTTCTGGTATTCTCTGCTTTCAGCCAGGATCCATCTGACATCAGCAATGATATCCCTGGTTCCACGTCCTCTTCTGAATTTGGCCTGAATTTCTGCCAGTTCCCTGTCAATATACTGCTGCAGCCACTTTTGAATGATCTTCAGCAAAATTTTACCTGTGTGTGATATTAACGATATTGTTTGATAATTTCTGCATTTGGCTGGATAATCTTTCTTGGGAATAGACATAAATATGGATCTCTTCCAGTCATTTGGCCAGGTGGTTGTCTTTCAAATTTCTTGGCATAGACAAGTGACCACTTGCAGCGCTGCATCTGTTTGTTGAAACATCTCAACTGATATTCTGTCAATTTCCTGGAGCCTTGTTTTTCACCAATGCCTTCAGTGCAGCTTGGACTTTTTCCTTCAGTACCATCGGTTCCTGATCATATGCTACCTCTTGAAATGGTTGAACGTCGACCAACTCTTTTTGGTATAATGACATTCATCATCAAAAAGAACCTTTCAAGGTCTATCCTGAAGTACAACGCTGTCAGTGATAGGCTAATATCCATACACTTACAAGATGATCAATTAATATGACTATTTTTCAAATTTATGCACCAGCCACTAAGGCTGAAGATGAAGAAATTAAATATTTTTACCAGCTTCTGCAGTCTAAAATTGGGAAATGCAATCAGGATGCATTGGTAAGTACTGGTGATTGGAATGCGAAAGTTGGAAACGAAGAAGGATCGATAGTTGGAAAATATGGCCTTGGTAATAGAAAGGATGTGGGGGATCACATGATAGAATTTTGCAAGACCAACGACTTCTGCATTGCAGATACCTTTTTTCAACAACATAAACGGCGACTATACACATAGACTTCCCCAGGTGGAATACACAATAATCAAATCGGCTACATCTGTGGAGATGATGGAAAAGCTCAATATCATCAGTCAGAACAAGGCCAGGGGCTGACTGCAGAACAGACCATCAACTGCTCATATGCAAGTTCAAGTTGAAACTGAAGAAAATTAGAACAAGTCCACGACAGCCAAAGTACGACCTTGATTATATCCCACCTGAATTTAGAGACCATCTCAAGAATAGATTTGACACATTGAACACTAATGACCAAAGACCAGACAAGCTGTGGAATGACGTCAAGGCCATCATACATGAAGAAAGCAAGAGGTCATTAAAAAGACAGGAAAGAAAGAAAAGACCAAAATGGAAGTCAGAACAGACTCTGAAACTTGCTCTTGAATGTCGAGTAGCTAAAGCAAAAGGAAGAAATGATGAAGTAAAATAACTGAACAGAAGATTTCAAAGGGAGGATCGAGAAGACAAAGTAAAGTATTGTAATGACATGTGCAAAGAGCTGGAGATGGAAAACCAAAAGGGAAGAACATGCTCGGCATTTCTCAAGCTAAAAGAACTGAATTAAAAATTCAAGCCTCAAGTTGCAATAGCAAAGGATTCTATGGGGAAAATATTAAACGAAGCAGGAAGCATCAAATGAAGATGGAAGGAATACACAGAGTCATGGAATGCTATAGAGCAACTAAATTTTTGTTCAGTCTACAAGCTAAGAATGCCTTGTACATTATTTAAAGGACTGACAAAAAAAGAAATCAAAACAAAAGCAAGGAAGTCTATGTGAGAGACTTCATGTGGCCTGCAAATCCTAAAATGTTTATTAGGTAGCCATTCACAGAGTAAGTTTGCCAAGTCTTGTTGCAGAGCAAAGTAAATACATCTGTGTGTAATAACACGAACGACTCACATAAATATTGTATTGAGCAAACCAATCCTGATTAAAATAATAGATTATATACAATTCCATTTATGTTCACTTGAAAATAGGCAAAATAATTATAATCATTAGGAATAATTAACTACGTGGTAAAACTATAAAGAAAACCTGGAAATGGTTGCTATAGCCACTTGGTTGCTGGCAATGTTCTATTTCTTGCCCTGTGCAGTGGTTAGTTACACCTATATTGCCTTTATACTAGATAAATTGTATAATTTTTTAAAAAGAAGATAAATTTAAAAAAATTAAAGGAATAGAAGAGTCCAGAAATTCCAAAACAAAAATGAAGAGCCCCAAAACACCAAAAGTTTCTTCTTTGATAAGACCAATAAAATATACACAGTCTTAGTAAAACGGGGAAGGAACCCCGGTGGTACAGTGGTTAAGCGCTGGGCTGCTA